CCACCGCGGCCTACCCCCCTCCCCCGGGGGGGCGAGGAGGAGGAGGACGAGGAGGAGGAGGAGGAGGAGGATGAGGAGGAGCAGAAGGAGCAGGAGGAGCAGGAGGACGAGGAGGACGACGAACATAATGGGGGAGTGGGGGAAAAGAGGACAGAAAGGAGGAAGGCGGCGATCAAGGAGGCGGAGGAAGACGGGGAATAAGATGGATAGTAGACCAAGACGCGGAGTACAAGTATATTGTCGCCGTCCGCTGCACACCTCGTCTCGGTCAATCTCCATCCCAGTACGGTTCCTCGCCTTGTGGCGCTTCCTCCAAGCAGAAGAAGGAGGATACAGGTGCGGAGGAGGACAACGAGGCTCATCCCGCCTCCTCCTCGTCATCCGCCTCCCCGTCATCATCTCCATCATGTGCTCCTCATCCCCATTACTCTCCCTCGCCTCCCCATCATCGTCATCCCCAGCAACATCGTCATCATCAAGATGATCACCAACATCATCATCGCCGTCATAATCATCACCGCAATCATCATCATCGTCATCATCATGAGCACGATCATGATCAACATCGCCGTCATCATCATCATCATCATCATCATCAGCTTCAAAAGAACAAGTATCATCATCATACCCCTCATCATCATCAATATCATCAACATGTTCATCATCATCAACATCATCATCATCAGCATCATCATCATCATCATCATCATCATCATCATCATCATCATCATCATCTTCATCAGCCTCGTCATCATTAGCAGCAGCAGCATCGCCGCCACCACACATACCACCATCCTCAGCATCAGCAGAATCACGATCATCATCGTCGGGATCAGCACCGGCATCGTGATCCCTGCATCAGCATCAACATCAGAAGCATAGTCGGCATCATCAGCAGCATCCGCCTCGTCATCGCTAGCATCATCACCATCCTCATCACCATTACCATCATCAACACCATCGTCCTCATCACAATCGCCACCACCGTTAGAATCATCATCTTCTTCACCACCATAATCATCATCAACCTAATCACCAGTGTCCTAATCGACATGCCCACCATCCTCAACCAGATCATCGTCACCACCATCAGAATCATCAACATCCGAATCATCATCATCACCATCCTCATCATCATCATCATCCTCATCATCATCATCATCATCCTCATCACCATCACCAGTACCATCTTCATATTTATCAGCAACATCAGCAACCTCTTGTCTATCACCACCATCATCAATGACATCAGCCTCATCTTCATCATCAGCATCAACATGATCATCACCAGTATCATAATCAACACCATCGTCCTCATCACCATCGCCATACCCATCATAATCATCAACGTATTCATCATCCAGATCATCGTCAACCTAATCATCAGTGCCCCAATCGATATGCCCACCATCCTAAACCAGATCATCATGAATACCATCACAAACATCATCATTCCGATCATCCTCATGACCATCCTCATCATCATCCTCATCCTCATCATCACCATCAGCAATACAATGTTCATTTTCATCAGCAACATCAGCAACATGATGTCTACTACCACCATCATCAACGACATCATCATCAGCATCATCATGCTCTACCCTACGTCCTGTGAGATGCCACATACATTCTACTCCATCATATGAGCCCATTCTGCCGAGCTCCGGTTGATGTACCCGCTCCTGATCCAGCCGATGTTGCGGCAGCTGTAACTGCTGCTGCAATTGGTGATGCTGCTTCTCTTTCTCGCCCTCCTCTATGTCATCCCCCCCGTTTCATCCTTCTCCTTCTCATCGTGCTCCTCCTGCTCCTCATCCCCTCCCTACACACCTCAAACTCATCCGTCAGCCCCTCCTGTCCAGTCTCCTCCTCATCCTCATCCTCTCGCCGCGCTTTCTCCACCTCCTTCTCCACCTCCTCCTCCTCCTCCTCGCCGTAGCCATGTTGGCTGAAGCGATCCGCTGCTGACAGGTAGGGGCGTTGCCTGAGCCACCGCCGGCAAACTCGTGAATGGCAATGCCAAACGGGGGGAATCAAAAAGGCTAGATTCGACCTCAGTGTAGCACGTGTATGTGCATCTCGGTGGAGCCATGGGAGGAGGCGCTGTAGGTCCAGCGCCAGGACATAACGTCACCGGCTATGACGCTGGGCAACGTTCCCTGGACCAGAACGTCACTGGACTCGAGCGACCAGAACACTAGGCCCAACGTTCCCCGCGCCCCAGCGGGGGTCGGGCTCCGTGTCAGGAGCACTACCACACAGTTGAATCTAAGCGTGCGAAAAAAATGCGCAGCAACTGCAAGCGACGAAGGGCAGCAGCGATGGGCGTCACCGGCTAGGGTGGCCACGGCGTGCAATACAGCCGGCGGCGTCGGGAAGGGCAGTGGCTGCAAACGGCAGGGCGAAGTTGCACCCGACGCCATCAACTACAGCAAAGGTCTCACGGAGTGCGAGAAAGGCATGAAGTGGCTTTACCAAGAGGGTAGCGGCGGCAGCGTGCGAGAGAGCGGCAATCGGGGCGATGCCATCCACGCCAGCGGCTGTAAGAACGGGGCCGCTGGTGGAGACAACGCCGATCCAGGCCCACCACGTTTACGACGATGGACGCCTTGTTACCCACCAGCCCTTGGAGGTCTTCGGACGTCTTCTTGTGGTCTTCGGCGGTTTTCTGACGATCTTCGGCGGTCTTCGTCCATTACATGCGGCTGTCGACACAAAGCTGGATAGTTGCGGTTACGAAGGATCCATGACCGAACACCTACCGAAACACACACTACTCCAGCCGCAAAGCGGGGAGCCCGGCTGGAATGAGGCGAAGCAGCGCCGGGCCCACCACACGATCCCCCAACGCGAGGCAGGGACCGGGGTGGAAGGATGGAAGAAGGGAGTGCCGCAGCGTTAGGTGCATGTTCGCAAGCGCAGCGGTGCCACGTCGTGCGAGAAAGGTAGGCCGTGGCAGCATGAGAGGAGGAAAGACGCGAGACTAACGTCATCAGCTACAATGCTGGGCCCATCGCTGGAGCCAGCGTAGCGCAGTGGCAGCAGACGCGGTCAGCTATACCGTTGGGACCAGCTTGCGCGAAGGAGGCTCAAGAGTGCGCGTGCAGAGGTCCGAGACCAGGGGCAGGCAGTAGCAGCAGCGGTTGTCGGTGCGAGAAGGCAGGCAGCGGCAGCAGCGGTTGCCAGTGCGAGAAGCCATTTTTGGCCAGTCGAGCGCAGTCATTCGCTCCACGACTCCCTGATGGTCTGGCTGGCAGTAAAACAAGATCCTAGCGAAATCCTCCTCCTACATCCTGCCCATTGCTGTCTGTGACCTCTCGTCCCCTGCTCCCTCTCCCCCATCTCCCCCTAGCCTGTTCCTCCTTCGCCTCCTCGTTTCCTTCCTTCCTACTGCCATTACTTCCCATTCCTCGACTGCCTTCTTCTCCTCCTGAACCTCCTTTCCTTCCTTAGTCTCCTCTCCCTCCCCTTCCTCAATTACCCGTGTATGCCGTGCTACTACATACTCCCACTCTGTCACATAGCAGGCCGATAACAACCTCACACGGGACGCTCCATCCTAATCAACAATCTTGGCGAAGGACCCAGGGACGCTCCATCCAATGCAACTGCGGATGTCGCCAGGCAAGTGACGTAAAGGAAGGGGGCCACCAACCGTGCGAGGAGTGTGCCGTAATGGGCGGGAGAGATGCATGCGGACGGTGGCGCTGGGGCCTTGGGTGGAGCTCCCTGTGGGGTCACGAAACGTGTGAGGGGTGTGTCGAAATGGGCAGTGGAGACGCATGTCAACTGTGCCACTGGGACCCTCGGAGCTCCCTCTGGGGCTACAGAACGTGTGAGGGGTGTGCCGACATGGGCAGGGGAGATGTATGCAAACTGTGCCACTCAGACCTTCGGTGGAGCTCCCTATGGGGTCACGGATTTTGTGAGGGGTATTCCGCAGCGGGCGGGCGAGACGCATGCGAACGGTGGAACTGGGGGCGTGGAGCCGTGGTGCTGGGGCCTCGGGTGGAGCACCCTATGGGCCCGCGGACCGTGAGAGGGGTTTGCCGTAATGGGTGAGGCGGACGCATGCGGTCGATGGTACTGGGGCCTTGGGTGGACCTATCAATTGGGCCACGAGCCGCGGGAGGGGTGTGCCGTAATGGGCGTGGGGGACGCATGCAGCCAGTGGCACCAAGGCCCTGGGTGGAGCTCCCCTTTAGGTCCACGAACCATGTGAGGAGTGTGCCGAAATAGTCATAAGCCGCGGGGCGCTGTCACCTAAAGTCGAGGACTCAACACCACAGGATGGATTGACACCTCCTCCTGATGTGTTGTTACGGTCAGCACTCATATTACAACGTCCACGTTGTGCTCTCACCATGGGCGGTTTGTCGTCGTCCTTACAACATGCGTGGTGGGAATGGGACGGGCCCACATAGCGCGAGAAAAGGTAAAATGTCGCTCTCGCCTCGGTGTCGCCCAATATCCCTGAGAGATGAGCTCCCCCGTGGGCGGGGCGCACACATTTCGCTCGCCAACTCGTCAACCGCAAGGTCGCGCGAAACCGAGCAAATCTATCCCTCCACTGTGCGCAGGGCATATTTTTCAAACGCTCAGTCGTTGCACTGCTTCTTCGGAGCGGCACATGCTTCGGCTTCTCCGCGCTCATCGGGAACTTGGCCGAACCAAAAGAAGGCTGAATGGTGCTCTCGCCCCAGCTCCGCGCCAAGATTATCTGGAAAGTCTCCTCGCGGCCCGCTTTCTTTCTCACGCCAAGTCGTCGGAAGCGGGACCGCGAGCGAGCTCCTTCCAGTCGCTGGGGGGACGCGCGCCAGTCCCAAAATCAAGTAGCGCCCCACGGCTCCTTCCCCCCCCCCCTTGGCTCCCCTCCACCCTCCTCCTCCCCTCCCCGCCCTGTGACGCGGCCGCCCCTGCTCTTCATCGCGCTGCTGCTGCTGCTGCTGATGCTGCTGCTGCTGCTGCTGCTGCTGCTGCTGCTGCTGCTGCTGCTTTCACTCGCGCTGCCCCCCCGGGGACCCCTCCACGTCACCGGGCCGGATCTTCTTGCCGTCGCTCTCCTGGGAGGACGGCAGCCACCCGCCCTCGCCGGCTCCGGGCCCAGGAGCGGCGGATGTACCGTCCGTGGGCGGGCCGCCAGGACGGCGCACTCGCCGCTCTCGGGCCTGGGCCCGGCCCGACGACAGCTGGCGTGCCCAGACCTCCGACGTCGGGGTGCTCTCACGGCGTTGGCCACGGAGGCCTCGGCCTCATCCCATGGGGCCAGCTGTTCGCCGCGTGCCCTCGCTTCTGTCGTGTGGTTCTAGGCCTTCCAGACAGGGTCCGAGCAGATGGTGCCAGGGGATCGCACCGCATCGCCAGTGCATGGCCGATGCATCGGCGCCGTCGGCGTGGAGAGCATCGGGTTCCACATCGAGCCGCATCGTCGATTGGGATCCCATGTGGGAGGCCTGGATCCTGGTGCCACCAGGGAAGAGCCCGCGAACGCTGACACCGACAAAAAGCGGCCGCCATGCGTTCTCTGCCCGCGACGCCTGGAGGTCTGGGTGGGCGAGTGGTTGGCGCCCCCCCCTGGCGGCCTCCTCCGACTCGCCGTAGGCGAGCGCCAGCGCCTCCTGCGGCGGAGGGCTGTTCGAGCCTCTCGAATTGCTGACGGCACACTGGGCCCGACACGGAGGAGGGAGAAACGGAGAGTAGGAACAACAGGGCGGAGAGGGAGGGAAAACTGTCCACGCGCTTGCGCCTGAGGAAGGGGCGCTGCAAGAGGGACCGCTGGCGGTGCCAGCCGCCGCGCGATGGCCCTGGCCAAGGGCTCAGGATCCACCTTGCCACCACTGGCGGTGACCGCTTCCTTCGCCGACGGCTGGCCCCTTCCGCCGCCCGGCTAAAAAAAAATTGGCCGCCGTGGTGGTCGTCTTCATCGCGTTCGCTGCCGGCGTTAAAGTTGCCGTCGCCGCCCGGCCGGCCTGCTAAGGCCCGCCCGCCAGACCCGACCCGTGTGTAAGGTTTAATGGGTGTTCGCTCGGGCAGGCGCCAAAGTTTAATGTCCCGCCCGCCCGTTGGGATATACTCGTGGTCGCTCGAATGGTAGGTGGTAGGCGCGGCGCTTCCATGTCCCACCCGTCCGACCCGACCAGCCCTTCCGATGCGTCGTCAGCAGCCCCGCCAAAGCCCGCACCCAGAACATGGCCCCCGCGCTCGTCATCCAGGGAAGAAGACTTCTCTCTTGCGTCGTGGCCGCGGCGGCGAGACCGCCAGAATCTTAGGAATGGCGCTGGACCGTGCGCGTGACCTCCATGGTCGGGCTGGATGTGTTGACTGACGCCAGCAGCTTCTCCTTCCCCGGACGGCCACGTAGTCTGCGCCCCCGTTGCATCCCATCGCAGCGCGCACGCGGTCCACGCCGAAGGTGACCCAGGCGGCCTCAGTCTGCGCTCCAACCTCCAGCGTTTGGGGACCTCCTCGGAAAACACCAGTTCGGCCTGGAGCGCCCTGGGGACATCAGCGCCCAATCCAGCGTCGGGGTGGCTGGCAGAATTGCGCGGCCTCGAAGGCTTCCCAGCTCTCACTGGAATAGGCGTTCGCCGCGACAACCTTCAGCTCGGGCGCAATACCTTTGGCGCCAGCGCCCAGCGCGCACCTCGTCATGGGCTAAGCCACTACGCGGACGAACTCGGACGTCGTTGCACGCGAAGCCTTGTCTAGGCATGCCCCAGAAATCATGGCGCCACAACGTCCAGGGTTCCGCTGTCGCGAGCAGGCGGCTCGTGACTCCTTAGACCAACGCAGCGCGGCAGCCCCGCAGTGAGCGGCCACCGCGGGCGACCTCGACGCAACGTCCATGAGCGCACAAGAAGAAACCATTTTCGAACAACACAACAACTGAATGCGTGTCTTGGGGGTGACCTTGGACATATGCCAGAACACCTGCGCCGGATGGGAATGGATCCATCTGCGAGAACGGAAGGAGGAGAAAGAAGGCAGCGGGCGACCTCATATTGGTTCGATGGTGTTCGGGTGCTTCTGCGATTCCCTGCAGGCCTTGGAACAGATTGAATGGTTGTCACACGTATCCGGGCATTTCTGAAGCCTTCAGCTGCCCATGGAAAGGGTCAGCAGAGTAAGGGGGTCTCGTGTCGAATCGATGCGGTTACTTGCCGATGCAACGCGCGTGAAATATTATTGAATGCCTATCATATTCGTCGAATGTGACATGGAGAAGCGTGCGCTTCCAAAGCTGAGCGCGGGCTGGTTCACCGGCCGAAACAGCGCAATGCGTGTAACCACGCGCAGAAAGCCCGAGCACTGAATACGAACGCGGAAATGCATGTCGCGGCGCGTGAAAGCCTTCCTCAGATTAAAAATTGTTTATACGACGCAAGCGGTTCACTGCCCCCCTTACTGCATGCAAAAAACCTGTCCCCGAGACCAGATGCGAAGGAAGGGGCCTGGAGGCGAGGGCAGCAAAATATGGCACGGTGCCTTTAAATCTGCACACCAATCCACCCCGAGCCTCGGCCTTTTCAGTCTCAGAATCGCCCTCGGGCTCCTCGCCCTCGTAGGGGGGAACGAAGGGGAGCTCGTAGTCGTCTTCCATCGTGTCCAGCGCGCCCTTCTTCATGATCTTCCTTTTCTTGGCGGAAGTAAAGCTCCGAACCTGCACGAGGGCCCACTTAAGCTGCGTGTAGAACTCCAGGGTAGCCTGCAGTGCCAAACCCTCCAGCTAGGTCAACCAGTCTGCGATCATCGCCTCCGAATGCACCCACCTCAGATCCGCCTGGGCTGCGCTCGTGTTCTGTCTCAAGACAAACGCCTCCATCGCTCATACCCTGAGGAGCAAACCCTGTCTACACTATCGCACATGGCTCTGCAATCAGTGACTAGGGAACCAGGGATCTCCTTATGCAGTTGTCGATCTCGCGGTGCGGAATTCTGCGTCCGTAGGTCATCTCGTGCCACGCCAACCTCGCGCACTCTTGAGCCTCATTCGCCATGGTGTCCGTCTGGATCTAGGCGCTTAGCGAAATCCACGCCACTCGTGGTAACGTCCGCGAGGCTCTTGAATGACGGAGAGGCGCATGAGCTGGTCGTCCAGGATCTTTCTCTGCGCCATCGTCATGCGCATGCATCCTTGAGATCCCCTGACAACGGGACCTTCCACGAAGCACCATGCCGCGTGACAAACACGGGGTCGTCCGTGGACTGGAAGGAAATTGCGATCCAGGCGGCCTCGTGCGCGGCATGCACCAGATGGCTGACCCCCTTGGTGGTCGCCATGCTTCCCGTAAGTACATGTCCCCCAGCATGCGCGCTTCTCCCGCCAGCCACGTCGTTCCTTGAGATGCCAGAAACTTGGTGCCTCATGAGCCCCCATCGTCGGCACTCAGACTTGAGGCTATCTGGCTGGGGAGCTTCGCCTCGGCGCTCCTGCTCGTACAGGGTCAGCTCGATGCACTCGACCTTCTGCGCCGCCTTGACCAGGCTCTGAATACTTGCAAATTCCGCTAGCAACACGTACTCTGATCCGCACGGTGTGAAGAAACCAACGTCCCAGGAGCCCAACTGGCACAACTTCTCGATGTCTTGAAAATAATTGCTGCCTGTGGTGGTGGTCGGAAACCCATCGCGAAAATATCCACTCGCACAAACGACGATCGTCTCCACGTTGCTCTTGCTCTCGCACTTGACCGGCAGACATGGCTCAATGGTCATCGGTGCATAATTCAGAGCTCGCAAATCACAGTCCACCTTGCCGCCCCCTTCCTTCGGGGTTTGGCCGGGCCGCGCGCTGCCTCCAGCCGGACTTGACCTGAGCAACTTCGCACTTGCTCGCAGAGCCTTCATCCGGCGTTGCGCGCCACAAGTTCAGTTCGGCTTGTCCTTCCTCGACGGACTTCTTGAAAGGTCTGCATGGGCTTCTCGCTGAACGCTGCCGGCGCTTCGCCTTCCATGAAGAAGGCGGCCATCCAGATGTCCTGGTCCTCTCAGATGCTCGCGAAGACCTCTGCTGCTCCCCCCTGGTCCGCTGCCGCATTTTTCGCGGGGGTGGGGGTCTCTGCGCTCGTTGTGAAGCCTGGTCCTTGTCGTGATGTGAAATGTCTCCTCGTCGGTACTGGCACATCGCCTGGTAGAGGTTTGCTCTTCGCGTTGAAGTCGGCATTTGGAACCGGCGCCGGGGTGGGAACTGGCGGTGGTCTTCTCGGCGGAGTCACCTGGGAATATGTCCTGGACGGTGGTGCACTGCGGTCGCGTCTTCTCCTCCCGCCCCCCGCCTCCTGCCTCTCGCCTCCTGCCCCCCAGGACCCCGCCGCCCCTGCGGGGCTGCGATCTGCGACGTCGCCACATTCGAGGGCTGTTGGTGGGTCCGGCGGAGTGAAGCACTGCGCAAATCCGGGCGGGACCTCGCCGTCCCTGGGGGGCTGCGATCTGCGACGCTGTCGCCACTGTCGACGGCTGCTGGTGGGCGCAGCGGGGTAAAGCACCGCGCAGATCTGAGCGGGCCCTCGCTGTCCCTGGGGGGCTGCAATCTGCGACATTGTCGCCACTTTCGACGGCTGCTGGTGGGTCCAGCAGATTGAAGCACCGCGCAGATACGAGAGGGCCCTCGCCGTCCCTTGGGGGCTGCGATCTGCGACGCTGTCGCCACTTTCGAAGGCTGCTGGTGGGTCCAGCTGAGCGAAGCACCGCGCAGACCTGAGCGGGACCTCGCCGTCCCTGGGCGGCTGCAATCTGCGACGCTGTCGCCGCTTTCGACGTCTGCTGGTGGGTGCAGCGGAGTGAGGCACCGCACAGATCTGAGCGATACCTCGCGGCCCCTGCGGGGCTGCGATCTGAAACGCTGTCACCACTTTCGAGGGCTGTTGGTGGGTCCAGCAGAGTGAGGCACCGCGCAGATCCGAGAGGGCCCTCGCCGTCCCTTGGGACTACGATCTGCGACGCCGTCGCCACTTCCGAAAGCTGCTGGTGGGTCCAGCGGAGCGAAGCACCGCGCAGACCTGAGCGGGACCTCGCCGTCCTTGGGGGGCTGTGATCTGCGACGCTGTCGCCACTTTCGACGGCTGCTTGTGGGTCCAGCGGATTGAGGCACCACGCAAATCTGAGCGAGACCTCGCCGTCCCCGGGGGGCTGCGATCTGCAAACCTGGGGGGCTGTCGCCACTTTCGAGGGCTGCTTGGGGGCTCAGCATAGCGACCTGGGAAACTGTCACCACTTTCGACGGCTGCTGGTGGGTCCAGCAGATTGAGGCACCACGCAAATCTGAGCGAGACCTCGCCGTCCCTGGGGGGCTACGATCTGCGAAACTGTCGTCGCGTGCAAGGGCTGCTGGCGGGTCCAGAGGAATGAGGCACCGCGCAGATCTGAGCGTGACCTCGCCGTCCTTGGGGGGGCTGCAATCTGTGAGTCCGTCGCCACTTTCGAAGGCTGATGACGGGTCCAGCGGAGTGAGGCACCGCGCAGATCTAAACGGGACCTCGCAATCCCTGGGGGGCTGCGTGCCTCGCGAATGCCGCTCGCAGAAGTATCTGCGCCCATGTCGCGTCATCACCTCCGTATACTGTTTCCCAAGCTACTCATGCTCCGCATTGCGCAGGGGTTGGGTACGTCGCCAGGATAA